ACCGGGGCCGCCCACAGTTCCGGCGCCCTGCCCGGCCTCTGCCTCCCCTTCTACCCGGCCTGCCAGAGCCCAGCTCTGCCCAGCTCATTTTGTCTGGCAGCAGAATCCCCAAGCCTTTTTGACTGGATCGATATTGTCCATCATTTCTTCACTGCTTGCGCTCAGATGAAAAAAGGCATCGGGTTGACTTGAGGGTTTTGTAGCACATGATTAATGTAGCCAGCGTTAGAAAGGGCAAATGAAAGTCATCCTAATGCCAACTATGGCTAAATTGCTGTGCTTTTTTTTGTGGTATGATTTGTGGTCACTGTTACTGTGCCGGGGCAAAGCCCAATATATACATATATATATATATTACGCATACCATATGCCATATGCATGTTGTTGTCTTCATGGCAGCCGGGTGTTTGGACCCCGGGCTCGTCCTAGGCCGCGAGTACCGGGAGTCGGCATGCCACAAGTTTGTGCACTTCCTCCAGGAGCGCCAGGTGCTCGGGGCGCTGGCCAGGGTGAAATGTATCGAGGCTGTTCTGGAACCATTGCATGGGAAAAGAAACCAACAGGCTTGAAATTACAAGGGGGCCTATAGATTCGAATATGTTTGAATTATACTTTTTGTTTATTGAGGTTGTCCTGCGGGTCACGAGGATGTTTCCATGTGCTTCCATGTTGCACAGAAATGAGAGCAGATGGCCTGATTGACTTTGTCAGCAGGAGATTGAACATCATGCGTTGTTCTTCTGATCCATTGATCAGAAATCCATCCATGAGTCAGAGTTGGGGCCTTGGGACCGGGAGCAATTTCTGATGATTTTGCATCTTTCCAGCTGGTTCTGTGCCATGTTTAGGAGTGGCACTACTGTAAATGCATGAAGATTGACGCTTTCCAGCTGGCAGCAAGTTACAAAGGATTTGTTTACCTACTGGCTATGGGTATGCAACCGGTGCATGGTGACGGAAAACATCATTTTGGCAGGAACCAGCAACTCTCTCCCTCTCTCTCAATACATTCTTTAACACACATTTACAATCAAATATATATATATATACACACATAGCAGGGAACCTGTCCGTTTTTGGGGGTTTTGCACCACCATCACCATCACCATCATCCTCATCCTCATCCTCATCCACATCCTCATCCTCATCCTCATCCTCATCCATCTTATCCATTTTATCCATCTATCCACTATCCATCTATCCATCAATCAATCGATCAATCAATCAATCATTCAATCAATCATCAATCATCAATATCATCGCCCTCCTCATCATCATCACAATCATGATCATCATCCTCATCCTCATCCTCATCGTCGTCCTCCTCCTCATCCTCATCCTCATCCATCTATCCATCTATCCATCAATCCATCAATCAATCAACCAATCAATCAATCAATCAATCATCAATCATCAATATCATCGTCCTCCTCCTCATCATCATAATCATGATCATCATCCTCATCCTCATCCTGATCGTCGTCCTCCTCCTCCTCCTCATCCTCATCCTCATCCTCATCCTCGTCGTCCTCCTCCTCATCATCATCATCATCATCATCATCGTCAATCATCAATCATCAACAATCTTCAACCATCATCATCAATATCATCGTCCTCCTCCTCTCCTCCTCCTCCTCATCATCATCATCATCATCATCATCATCATCATCCACCACCACCCTCTCATTGGACTTAATTTTGTGAAAGGATCCGTGAAACATCGTGAACCGTTTTCAGCACGAGGATTTTCGAGTGGAGGATGACTTCAAACTGAAACTAAATGTGCCAGTTCCACCCGCAGATACGATGTACTATGGTATGCTATGATATGAGTATGATATAACATTATACATGCCTAGTACTATTGAAACGGGTTAAATGGGTAGACCTCCCAAAATGAACCTGGCAGAGGAAGATATCAGGATGATGTTTTTCTTCAGTGACTTCCGGACCTGCGCCCAGGTGCCACTGGGCGTTGGGACTCCAGACCCCTTGCAGGTGCTCTCAACCGAGCCGGAGCAGGCCGACCAAACCGGGGCAACACCCCAAAGTTGAGTGGCGCCGAAGTCTTGTTCCGAACATAGTGACTTAGTGTGTGTGTGTGTGCTGTTTTGGGGGGGGTTAAGACACTTCAGGCACTTCATGTTACTTTCAAGCATTTTGTGGGCCACACGTGCACATACGTACAGCAAGATCGGAGTCAATACGGCCTGTGAGAGATCCCACCACCCGAGGACAAGGATCCCACCCCAAATGTTTGGGCGGAGGCGAAGATTCTTTAAAGGAGCATCACCATATCGGTGTGTATTGAAATTGGGGAAAACCAAAGATCCCCTGGAAGAATGGACTTTGACCAGTCTACTCAGTGTGTATGGGTGTTTCCCTGTTAAAATGCACATCCAGCATCCATATTGAGAGATTCAATTTTTGGATGTCCCAGCTGTCAGGCACGTTGGTGTTCCTTTGGTTTGCCCAGCGACCGGGTCTCTCTGGAGAATGGCGCCATTATGACGTGCAGCGAGCGCTGGTGCTTGACGCTGGTTGACATGACCCAGCTCGGAATCCCCATGAGAAGAAACCAAGTGAAGGTACCACCAAGGCCCATCCAACAACCAGGGCTGGCTTGGTAGCTGGTAGGCTCCTTAGAGGTGAAATGGGTGTCGAGCTGAACCACCCCCTTTTAGGGGGGGGCCCTGGAAAACGGTTGATGGACTTTATTTGTCCTGGGGTGGGTGGGCATATCTTCTGAAGGGTGAACATCAGAGTGAAACCTTCGGCCGATGGGATGCCCAATTGATGACAACAACCAGAAGTCGCTGAGAGCCAGTCGCAGACACCCAGTGCCAGTCGGGAAGAGCTCCTGGTCCGAGTGCCAGTGAAGCATTGCAACATGACCCCATTGTAGGGATAGTAAGATAGTTTTTGCATGTTTTTGCAGCTGTTTTTTTTTGCAGATGGGGCATCCTTTGCGTTAGCTGTGTTCTGAAGGTTTTTGAACCTCCATGAGCGCGTTTGAGTGAGGATCGACCCATGAGTTTCAGGGTAGTCCAAACGCGTGGCGCCCAAGGATTATCGACCCACAGATGCAGGGGATTGTTTGGATCAAGACCAAGGCTTCAAGTCCGTTGCGGAGGGAGGTCGTCAGCAAGCCGTTCTTCTCGGACGAGCCGGCCACGTCGGACGTGTCCGGTCGGATGGTTCACGTCGTCCACGACCGGTCGTGCATCGTGCGAGGTGTGTCGCTGCGTCCCGCGGTGCAACGATTTGCCAAGAGTGAAGTTCCAACGTCATTCCAAACAGGGGATGGGTCGTGACCATCAGCCGAACCAGTCCACCTTTGGCCGCGAAGGACCTGACCTGCGGTAGGTCGTCGTGCCCGAAACCGGTCTCCATGCCATGACCCACAGTCTGAAAGAGTGATCTCCTTGCGCTGTGGTTGATGCTGCGATGGAAGACTTTCTTGCACATGACGTACATAAGTCTCGCCGGTTTGGTTTGCTGAATGGTTTACATAGCCAGCAGATGCCAGCAGGAAGAAATGCACAGATGATTCCAAAACTTATGACACAATAAGTATAGTTTCTATTAGTTCCTGTTAGATGATTTAGATGCCACGCTGATGGCATCCACGTCAAGATTAAATATTATTCCCCACCTGCCAGGTGAGGGTGTGTTTTATTTTATCAGAGCTCTTCCCGTTCCTCTTCTCCTCTCCTTGTCGTCTTGACTACTGCACCTCAACTGCCAGCTCCAGATCGCAACGGGCTATACCTCAATTGCACGTGCATGATCGCAGTGGGCACTACCGGACCTCAACAGCAAGCGCCAGATCGCAGTGGGCACCGCCGGACCTTGCCAGACAGAATGTCAGAATATATGCCAGATAATGCCAGATAGAACCCAGTGGGTCAACGCACCAGTTTAACCAGTTCTTTAGTAACACACCGGTGTAACCGGTGCTTTAGCAAAACGGGAGCTGGAAGCTTGAAAAGGCCGTGGCAAACCCGTGAAAAGGACGTGAAAAACCCGTGAAAACAGGGTGAAAGGCCGTGAAAAACATGTGAAAATTAGGTCTTGGATGTTGGGAGGTGAAATGCGTCCTTTACGCTATCGCACCAGTTTAACCCGTCCTTTGGACTTGCTGGGGAAGGTCAGAGTTTTTGCCAGATAGAATTTCAGAATGTACGCCAGATAGAATGCCTGAGCACTTGCCAAATAGTTCCAGAGTTTGTGCTAGAAAGAATAAAGTGTTTGCAATCGTGGTAGTTAGAATGACAGCAGTTTTGCCAGATAGAACTCAGAATATATGCCAGTCTGATTTTATGCTACATCTTTAATGGCAGAACAAATATCGGAATACATGTCAGAACACATACCAGGACTGAAGTTGATCCATGTGTCCCAGCACATGTCAGACAGGAATAATGTCAGGGATGTCAGAACACAGCCCAGAACGTTTCACAGCCTGTATGATAGATGACGTGCCAGAGCACAAACCCAGATTTGATTCCAGAATCCGCGCAAATCGCCTTTCAGGGTGGGGATCACTCGAATCATTTGTTTTGGATGTCGTGTTTGCAAATTGTGTTCCCACTCTGCGTTCTCACGACAGGAAGCCGACAACAACCTCCAAGTCACCCGGATGGGTAGTCCGCGCATGGTGCAGGTGCCAATCGAAGCCAGTCGAATGGGCCAGTCGGCGTTGGCAACTGAGAATGGAAAGGACCATTTGGTCTAGTGTGTAGCAGATCATAGAAAAACGTAGTAGATACTTTGTGATGTTAACATTGTCATGTTGTCCACCCCCCCACCGCACCAACAGGATATGCAATTTTCATATTTCAAGTTTATACTAATACATGTTATGTATTCGTTTATATTGTGTTTTGTTTGTATACTCTCAATCTCCTGGAACTGATGGATAAATACCTTGCTAAAACACGTTGCTAAACTAAGTTTAAGTCGTCAGGTTCTTCATGCCCAGTTACCTCACAGTTGAATGTGACTATGATCCATCATTTGTCCATCATGACCTCGCCGATGTCGTGCGGTCCTCGCTCTATTTACCGCGGCCGGAGTAGGGGATGGGGAAAAACAAAAGCAGGTCTTTGAGCAGTCCATCGAAGCGGGACATCCAGTCTTGGTGGAGAACATGCTTGAAACCGTGGATGCAGTGCTACAACCGGCCACTCGACGGGTCGAATGGACGCCGTGGAGCGGGGAGTCCGTGACTAGGAGCGGCAGATCTAAAACCATGCAAGACCTAGGAAGGGCAGTACTTCAAACATGCACAAATTGTTGTGTTTTTGCTGGGGGGGATGTCTTTCGTGTCAACTATAAGTCCTAGGGCCTGAGAATGCCACTCGGAGTCAGGTCGCCATTTTTGGCCCCTCGTAGTTCAGTGACTTCTGCGGTTATGGCAGGCCATTCGGGTTTCCCCAATGGCTCTGGGTCAAAACCCGGAGCCCTAAAACCTTGGTATTTTGAGTGCATTCCGTGATCAACCGACCAGGGCATTCCACTGGGCATTCCGTGTGCCATAACCCACCGCCAGTCGATGGTAACTGGTTTACAGTCCATGGATTCAGTGGAGCTTCCGATTTCAGACCGTTCACCGACCCTCAGCACCACGCATCCCCACGGTTTCACACGGCGCGCCGCCCAGACGCGTTTCGCCACGTCAATCAAGGTGATCGCCCGCAACACCTTGAAGCGCGGCACCAAGCGAGTCCTCAAGCTGGGAGAGAAGGAGCACCGGTGTTTTCGGAAACAGCTGCAGTTGCCAGACGAAAAGCACGGACCATGGAATCCAATTTTATGGACTTTAAGACTTTAGGGTGATTTAGGGTGTGAATTTTTAGGGTTTGGAGACCCCTGGGCCCCTGGATTTGAATATTGTTTGATGTCTCTTCTTCCAAAGGGACGTTGCCTGGGAGGTCTCCTTGCTGTAAGGAAAGCACCTTTTGTTTGCCTCCTCGTTTTGACATGTTGACCCATGGCCAGTTGCAGTATGTGTTTGATTTCATTCGGACAACGCTGGAGGGAACCATACCCTTCCATACCCTCCTTCACTGATGTTTGTTTCAACAGAAGCTCCAAGGGAGTATCAGTGGAGTCCCCCCCCCGTGAAAGACATGTTGTTTAATTTTATGTTCACTTATGACCATTTTTTGGGAAACCAATTCCTGCGTGTTCACGCATGTTCTAATGTCCATGTTGTTTCCACCTTCTTGTTCGTTCGCTTGAGACGGAAGAAACCAGACCTTCTTCTTCCGCCAGACTCTTCCGACTCGTCGGACGCCAGGAGATCGCCTACAACCCGAATTTCAAACTCTTTATGCAGACCAAGCTCTCGAATCCACATTACCCTCCTGAGATCCAGGCACCACAGAGTTAGTCAGTCGACCTGTCTGAGTCTGCGACCAAGCCGAGCTTTTTGGCCTGTGGCGGGAGTTGCATGAGTGTGTAGCATGTGGCGGAGCATGCAGCGTTTTGGAGTTGGCGAGGTTGGTGGACACCTCCATGCCCACCAACCATCCGGAAAGCATAGTATTGGGAACAATGACAATTTTGACATATTTTGACAATGGTTGTCGGTTGACATATGCCATGTATATACCCTATAGAAGTCGAACCAGTAGTCGAACCACCTTTTTACTTATAGCCTTTACCGAACAACCATTGTTTTACTTAGGGTTTTGCACTACAAAATCAGATCAACCATTCTAAAATATGGTCCTGGACTTCCAGGGTGCATATGAATGAGCATGATACAATTCTAGAAGCGACATGCAGCGGCCGGCGCCCTTGCGGATCTAGACCCACCCAAGTCGGCCATGGATCCCCGCGTCACCGTCGCCAGGCCGAATGCACCGTGATCAACTTCACCGTCACCGAGCAAGGCTTGGAGGAGCCCCGTGGGGCCCATGGGGCGGATGCGATGGAGAACGATGGAGTCGAGGTCCTGGCAGATCATCGCGACACTCCATGGGACTATTTGCGTATACATGTCATGTAGGGGTGGTTTCAGGGTCCAATGTATATAGGCATATATTATTCCATACTTGGAGTGTTGGGGTAGGAGATCATAGGAGCATAGCCAGCATAGCTGTTTCGGGTTGCCCTGGCTTGTTTTGACGTGACATGTACATGAAAGAAACATGTTTTTGTGACAGGATTGTTGTTATTATTTGTTGTTATGATGGTTTGCGATCATATCAGACCTGAGCCGCGGGTTTCTTGGACATTTGGACATGTCAAGGGCCTGAAATAGATGAAGACAGTCTGTGCCACTCCATGTGCCACAAGTGCCTTCTGACGTTGAGCAGCTCGGCTGGGGGTCCAGGGATCCTACACCAAACCCTCCACCTTTGGGTTCATTCGCAGACGAGATGTTTCACCCCATGCGTGCAACTGTCGGACATAGGCGACTGGCGGCTCTCAGTTCACTTCGAAGCATCCCAGACCTTCCATGCCAAAGACATTCAAAGACCTGAGACCTGTAACAAAAGCATAGACCTGTCCCGCTTGGCCTGATCACTGGAAGGTCACATGTTCATTTCCGGTGCTTGAACCGCACCAAAATGTTCCGCATCGACCAGACCTGCGCCGAACCTCTTTTCCAGACCAAATCATCCACCAGGATCAGCTGCTCTTTTTGGTGGTGAAGCTGGAGCGTCCGGATTTGGCACGCATCAAATCTGAACTCATCCAACAGCAGCTGCTCGCTCCAAGGGGCGTCAGTTCGGACCCGTTTTTTGTTTTCAATATCCCGAGGCAAATGGAAAGCAACTGGGAGTTCCATGTTGGGCTTTTTGACATCGGTCGGTGGATCACAGGCAAGCTTCTAGGGGCCCCTCATGATCTATGAACTAAGTACAGCATCCCTCTTGATCCTTTGGAATAAACGTGTTTGCCCCCCTGAGGAGGGGTTTTGATGTTTTCCCTTCCGAGGTGGGAGAAGGACAAGGATAAGCTGTGAAAGCAGCATACTCTTGTCCAGCGGGCTCTGTTGAACTTCAATGCTCGTTCAACGAAGGATATCTTAAAATGGTTTGTCCCTTGGCTATCCTGAATCAACAACCCTTTTTGCCAGCTTCAGTCATAATGTGTCAGAAGTTGCTTGCATATGTTTGAAGGACACAAGCCAAGGATTAGGTGTCTCTCCATTTCTATGGTTGCATCTCTGAGATGGGTGCTGTGTGAGACTGACACCATCAATTCATTCGGCACTTGTTGATGGATGATTCGTATTCCGACCTTAATACGCGCCACTTTCTGTGCATGAAAGCAATGAAACCCGAACATACTTTGTATCGGTTTGCCAGGGTCTACCACTTCTAGCCGGGCACTTTTACCCTTTTTACCTCGTTTCTTTTCGTCCACTCGGACTTGTCGCGAGGAACGAGTTCAAGGTGCGCTTGGCAGATTTGGAAGCCTATCTCTTAGAGAAGCTGGCGGGAGCTGATAGCGACATCCTGGAGGCCCGCACCGCACGTCGCAACATCCGCCAGCGCCCACGTCGCGCGGAGTGGGCAGATGTGGGTCATGCCATGTGTGTTAGTGCGGCGCGGGCGCGGAAGCTCATGCTGTGTGAGAAGGGAGGAGAGCCAAACTGACATTAACCAATAACATCTAATACTATTGATTCAGTGTCTTAGTCATCTAATGCCATGTAGTAGTGATGTAGAATGTTGATGAACAAAAAAAAACGCGCACACACACACATGGAGTTGTTGTAGAACCTCATCAGGCCTGAGAGCCAACCGTTTACATGACACCTTAATTCACCGAAAAAGATCGATGTAACACCATGATGTTCAATCATATCTATAGGATTTCCGGTGCACCTTCCCTTCAACATATGTAGACCAATAATTCTTAAGGGGAAACGGAACATTAAATTCAACTTTTCTCCCCGCAGATGAACGGCCCATCTATCAAGCTGCACAGTTTGATCCCAAATGTCATCAACTCACTTAGCACCAGCGCCGTCGTGATGGGGAACGGCCCGTGGTCGCTTCGATCGGCTCCCGAGTATGGAACCCCCAGCAAACCTCAGTCGCTTCCTTCTGAGCAGCAACTATATAGTTATGAAACTGGGATCAGAAGGCGAAGGAAGGAAGGTGACATCGAAGCTACTAGCTACGCCACCAGAACCGAACCCCCCAGAGAAACGGTGGCGTCCGAGCTGATTCGTGAGGACACCGAGCTGGTCTTTGGCTTGGAGGATGCCAAGTTCACCTCCGAGGAAGTGAAAGAGAAGGCCCTCCGATGAAGTGAAGGGCCTCCGATGAAGTGAAGAGGGTGTCGGGGTACGGTGTCGATCAACGAAAGTGGACTGGAGATGCCATGGCATACCATGGCACCCTGCACCCTGCCGGCAGCTACCTTCCATCTTCAAAACCCGGAGTTTGGTATCTTCAAGTCATCAGCTCCAAACATCAGCAGCCAGCGGCTTCTTTTCATCCATCTTCCACCCATCCGACGGCACGACACCACGGGTAACCGGCGCCCGCAGTGAAGTCACCGTGTTCAGCGGTGTATTTTGCCGGTTCAGCGATGGTTCGGCTTCTTCACCACTTGTTCACCAAGTCATGCAGCAAGTCGTCTCGGGGGGCCAGGCATGTTCGTTGAAAAACATAACTGCGAGACGTTGCATTGGTTCATTTGTATAGGACTGGTTGCATGTGTGCTGTCAGACGCTACTACCATTGGTTTGCCTTTGCATGGAGGGTTGGGTGCGCATGGAGACACACACCTACGTTCATGCTTCTCAGTTAAGACATACACTGACACACACACAATACATACACTGGATCACACGCACAGAAATTGGGCCTGCAAAAAGAACACTATATATAAGGATGTGCTCCTCCGCAAGTGAGTGGTTTGGGCTCTCATGTTGTATGGCTTTTGTAGATGCACCCTCCTAAACAACTAAGGTGGACTGAGACTCAGTCTGACTCAGAGGGCTTGAGAAGCTGCCACTTTGGATGGCCCATGACTTTCCCACACATCGGATGGTCATTCGATGGTCACGCCCTGCGCGGGTTACCTGCGTCTAGACCTGTCTAGAACCAGACAGTGATCGGTCTCGAGTGTCAGACGTCCAGGTGAAAGTGGCACAAGAAACCGAAGGGAAGATCAATTTGATCTCCCAGAACTACGGCCCCTTGGATTTTCGTGAACTGGCCCCCCCCGCATCTGTCTTTTTCCGTATATCTTTTCCAGTATCTGGGAACCACCTTGCAGTTCGTTGGGCAAGTTGAGAGGGCATGGCGTTCGCCCCCAAACTGAACGTGAGATGCAAAATTGGTTTGTTTGTCTTCGTGGTGGATCCACGATCCGCAGGGACACCCGGGTGAACCCCGTCCCCGGTTCTCAGAGATAGAAGGAGAACCAGCTCACGATCGTGAGATGTAGATATCGCAGATTGCTACAGAAGACCGAGGTGTCGACAGCTTCGTGACATGTCGCTCCAAGGGAATCGCTTCGTGACACGACCCCCCCGGCTTCCGCCCCGAGTCGAGAGTGTTGGTCCTCCCGGGTCGTCTCGAGCGAGGTGGATCATGGACACCCCGAGCGGACGCCACTACTTGATACCCCCGTTTCAACATCCGGTCAGTGACGCTGAGTTTTCAGGAGGTTCCATGGTCTTCTGATCTTCAGCATTCTTCAGGGTCTAGGAACCTAGACATATAACTAGGATTGGCAAATCAGCTTAAGGCGGCCAAGGGGTCTTTGCGAGACTTAGGTTGTTTCCATAGTAGACTACTTTTGCCATTTGCACCTCCCAATTCCATGTAAATGTGAGTGGGAGGGAGCTTGGGTGCAACCCGCCACAAAACACCGTTGCAAACACGATCTACCTCCATACTGCGCCATATCTGACAGCAGTTCCAGCCGCCTGTGCCGAACATACCAGGGCCCCCATTTCGGGGTGGTTCATAGATACCCATGAACCTCTAAGGAGCTTTTATTGGATACCCCTGCACGTCCAGCGCAGCAGTCCAAAACGCCCACCGTCCACCGGTCCGCTCCGCCCAGCTCCGGGACGAGGTCCCGTGGCCAATCGCGGCGCCTTGCTTTTCTTCCTCATGATGGAGCTCAGCAAGATGCACACCTTCTACAAGCACCCGAAAGCACAAATCGGTACCGTCAGGCTGTTGAAACACTCCGGAGAGGCCTTTCTTTTTTAAAACCCCAGGTCGCTCCTTTCGGCCGACCGGTCCCTCAAAACCAGAGGGATTGGTTCAGGTCTGGACCCCTCCATGAGCGTTTGGGAGGGATGGTATTTTAAGCAAGTTGGGTCAAAAAGTAAAACACATCACACGTGTGGGATGCCTCTTTGATGGGGGCTTACTATAGTATGGCGTAGGTAGTGTTACTATTGCCCAAGTTCCTTTTGGGATCGGTCCTTTAGGGTGTTCTCATTGCTTCCATTCTGATCTATTCATTTTGTGCCACTTGCCTAACTCCGGTCTCGGATCGTTCTGATCTGTGCCGATGGATCTGTGAGGTTGGAGCCTGCCAACTGTCGGATTTTTAGACAAGGTCAACTGGTGTTTTTTTTACATCATCTTAACGGCCACACGGGACGGGTGGGCGCTCCCCGAAGACTGGCCGCCGATTCTGGATCGTAAGCCAAGAGGGTGGACCTGGATCAAGCAGGTCAGGCACCACCCGGTGCCAAAGGATGGTTTATAGGTGTTGATAGGCCCCCCCCTGACCATGTGTTTCCAGCCAATAACCCTCCACCCAGGGTGGTGCTGGCTTATTTGCTGGCTTCTACCTTCATTTCGCAGGCTCCACCTTTCAGGGACAGGAGCAAGAAGCTATAATAAGCTATAGTAACAAGTAACAAGGGCATCGCTACTAGGAGCAAGAAGCTACTAGTAGCTGCATTACTACTAGTAGCAAGGACGTAACTAGTAGCAAAGAGCATTACTAGCAGTACCTCGCCGGAATGCCCGTCCCGCCATCGAGGTACTCTTTGGATGCTTTTGTGCAGGTGGTCACGCGGGCGGTGAACCAAGTCTCTTTGCGACAGGCCAGGCGACCGTGGCTTGTTCTTTGGGGTGAAGACTTGTTGAAGATAGTTCCTTGGCCATGGTGTACCAGCTGACTTCGTAAAGACTGAACAACCGGAAAGTACAAACCAACAGGGACAATTCAAGCGATTTCTTTGTACAGGCCTGAACCCCAGAGGTCAAACCTTTCTGGGTCAATGTTTGGTTGCGGTGGTGCAAAACATATTCCACAAACTACACTTTGACTCACTAACATGAAAGTGGTGGCCCTTTGGAAGGCATTTCCCTTGTAAGAGAAACAGGGAGTTCTTCCACTACCATCTAAAGTAATGTGTTCAGAGGGCATCTCAACCCAAACGACGCCACATGACGCCTCCATGTCTCAGTACATGTCCAGCCAACCTCACGTTCTTCGTGCAGCTCTCAACCTCCGCGGCGGTGCAGCTCTATACCTGCACCTATTGCAAGAAGCTACTACCCAGAACTTCCAACGTCGAAGTTTAACTTAGCCAATGAGAAACGTCGAAGTTAAACTTGTACATTGTACACCTCAGTGCGTCTAAGTTTTACTCATGTTAGTTGTCTTAAACAGAACAGACTCCGCAGAACGACGAAGCTTAACCTGGTTAAACATAGACAGAAACAACGTCGAAGTTAAACTTAGCCTTTGAAGATTAGGGTACTAGCAACGGGCGCATCACTACTAGTAGCAAGGACGCGACTAGTAGCAAGAAGCGCTGCTTACCCATATACCGTATACCCTCAAAAGTGCCCCAGGCAGGTGCACCGCCACGCAGTGCCTATTTAAAACGCTCCCCTTAAGAATGCGCCGCTTGCATGAGCGCCTTAAGATGCGGTTGAGAAACGCCTCACCAGGTCAAGGAGAAGAAGACGGAGACCCTGGGCATCACCAGTGCGCTGAAAGACATGGACGAGCGTGAGGAGCGGCGCGAGTCCGCTGCGCAGCTCACGACGCCGGAGCTCCAAGGTGGGAAGTCGTGGCCGGGGCAAAAGGTCCGCTGATTTTTCCAGTCAGATGGAAAACATTTTGAGTGGCAAAAATGGCCGCCCAATGGTAGTATCACTGAATGATGGAGCTTGAACATCTTCAAACTGTGTGACTAAGTTCCTTCTCCAGCACGAAGCTGAGATGTTGAGATTGGGCAAGCCAGCTTGCCAAGGAGGTTCTCCTTCTTTTTGGGCCTTCGCGGCCCGCGGAACAGGCAGCGACGTCTTTGAAGGCGACCATGTGGAAGAGGACGACGAGGTGGAGGATCGCTGGTGGGGGCTGTCGCGCGAACTGCGGGGGGAGAAGCCATGTGCGTCCTGGACCCTTCCGAATGGGAGGTCCTGCAAGGCCCCCCCAGTTCGGCCATTCTCTGGAAGAACCACCTCAAAGACCATCCTCACGAGGTACCATTATGGGGAAGTGATGGGAAGTGGTGATCCAGGTACCACTGCAGTGTTCCAAAGACGAAAGCCAAAGACGAAGTCCACTGGGTTATTCTGTCAATGTTTTGTTTCTTTTTGTGCGTGCATGGGTCACACTCCCTGAAGATGGCATGGCTTCGCCCCTGAAAAGACCATGAAATCCTCTACAGACAGGGGGCAGGGTGATTCCCTCCAATTCCACCGGTGTCTCCACTAGTGTCTCCACCCCCCCAACCTGCCGACAGTCCGGCCGATGAACGCAGGAGATTGTGGAGCTTTCAGGTCAAGCCTTGACAGATCGGGTGAAGCAGCTGGAAGGCCGGAATCACGGGCTCGTCGACACGGACATGGAAAACCGGAAGTCATGGGTTCCGTTCCTTTATATATACAGACCAATATGCAATGCTCTTGGTGGCTTTCATCAGCACTGCGCTGCTTTTTTCACGTCATCCAGCATGGCCCTAAAGCATCCTCACGGTTTTTTTTTGCCCCTAAAGGGATCATGTGGAACATTTGCGGATCCCAAAAAAAGGAACTCAATGGAACTCACTGAAGGGCTTGGGATATGATTGTCTATATGGACTATCAGCAACACCGTTGACTTAAGATACCACGGAAGTTGCCACCAGGAAGAGAGGCACTCAGACCCGGAGCTTTGGCCACCAAAATTGATCAAACCAACTTTCAACCCCCCGGTGAGTTTAGGCGAACACCTATAAGTTTTAAGCCATAATATCATATATCTATCATTATCTATCCACATGTTACAAGCTAAGCTTCACCAAGCAGGATTGGTGACCTTGTTGCCTTGCGTTCGGCTCGAGCGGAAGGGAGTGGTCTACTCGGCTACTCGAGTGGTGCAGGAGTGGTGACCTTTGCCATCTATTCCTATCTTCGTCGTGGTCTACTCGATGCAGCCGCCCGGATGGAGCATTGAATCCTTCCAGCGCAGCATAGCGGCGATGGACGCGGCGGGAGCTGCATGCCACGTTGGGTGACAAAACGGATGACTTGGACAGACTGCTATGGTAAACCTCAAGAACAGCACTGCTATGGCAAAAAAACAGAAGGAGGGACATCGCGCACTGAAATCATAGAAAAGAAAGGCAAAGCTCAAGGTGAACCGTTCACTAGCCGGCCATGTGGTGCATGTCATGGGGGAATGGGACGGGGAGGGAGCTGTCTAATTACACCCTGACTCTGCAACCTTTTGTGATTCACGACTTGAATAGATGATCCATGATCCTTCAAATGCTCAGCAGCTGGAGCTATTCTCCGTACATGTCACGTTCATCATCCTTCAAACCAGGAGCTCCTCATATTCAACCAGCGAGGACGTCGCGACGGCCACCGATATGCTTGCGCGGTGGCTTGTGCTCAGGACAAGCTGACCGTGGCCTCCATGTTGGCTCTCAAGATCTTGGTCCGATCAGGCTAGCTGACCGGGGCCCGGGCCACGGTCGAAGTGAAGTGCCAGTTCTTCCCCAGCAAATAGGGAGCCGGCACTGGGAGCGACAGAGAGCTTTCCAACCCATTGTGAGTGGATGCATGTGCAGGTGCATGTTCTGGCTCTAGTCCCACCACGGGCTGGTAAGTGGAGCAGCCCCAGGTCTGGCAAATCCAACCACTCAGGAATGTACCATGTGTTTAGGCCATTGACAGGCACCCATGGAAATCACCTGGATCCGATGCGGAATTGATTAGGGGTCCTATCAAAAGCTAGAGCATTTCCACTGCGAAAACCATTGCTTTGCTGTGGGGCATCGTCTCGAACAGTTCTATTACTGTATTGGTAGCTCATGGTAGCTCGCAGGATGGTCCAAGGTTCGTTGTGGCGTGTCGCGGGCAAGCTTTCTCTCGAGCCGTGGCCCGAGCACGGTGATGAGCTCGTTCCTCCTCCTTTGTGGGGCACATACTATGCCTTCTATTCGTTGCGGTCCCGCAAGAATGCCTAGAATCCGAACTGGGCTGAGCTCCAGCATATCTGCTTGTGGCGCAAAGCCTCACATACAGCATCTCACGGAGGAACATACTATATGTAAAGTGATATATATATATATATGGAAGTCGCACTCATTGAGTTAGATAGTGTCATGGACATATAAGGTGGTCCCTCGAAAGGGCTGGAGCTGCTCAGCAAGGTGTCAAACATGCTCGGCAAGGTCCAGTTAAATATATAGAACGTATAAAATATATATATATATACATATAATATACCAGGGCCCCCCGTGTCAGGGGTGTCCAATAATAGCCCCTTAGAGGTTAATGGGTATTGATCAACCATCCCGGAACAGGGGCCCCTGCTATCACGTATTGGTGCCGGGTGTGGCGCAGGGGCACTCATGGCACGTCACCCAGAAGGGGACCAATCAATCGAACGACCGTGGACCGATCGGTCGAACGAATCACTCAACTAATTGAACCAGCCTAAGAATCCGGGCCCAAAACCAACACATACGGTTTTGAGGGCCCAGACCCCTGCCCTGGAGGGTACCCGTGCGGAGAGCCCAAGGATTGGCAAGTGGGAGCCAGGCTCGTCAATTCGGTCGAACGAGATCCGTTCTTCCCAGTTCCGGACGCTTGCAGGAACTGTGCAGCTCGAGGATCTGAATCTGTTGATCCGAGCTCCGGTGGACCCCAATCCCCCGCCCATGCCGGATACCACGCGCAGCTCCTTGGATCGAGTATGGGAGGAAGACTTGGAAGGGAGGAAGACTTAGGTGGATGGGGTGTGAACGTAATGCTTGTAATCCACTGGGACAACATGACGGAACTTGACAGAACCGACAGAACCCAGAACCGATCTGTTTGCAGATTCACTGAGACAAACTTCAATGTTTCAGATATCAACCCTAGAGGTGCGTCGAGAAGTACCGCAAGCACAAGCACACAGATTCTCAAAGAACGGGTCATTACAGTGGTTTCAGAAAGAGATGGCACACACCCAAAGATGGGGGCCCAATACAAACCACTTTTGGGGGATTGCACCATCTACTCTTGAAACCACCAAGATGAGGCATGACAAGGGAACGGCCGCCGAATGGAGCCCAGTGCCGGCTGTAACAGCCCCACCATAGAGGGCTCCTATAGGAGCATGACCTGTTGTTCCAAAGAACAAGAAGTTCCCACTGTACATAATTCCCAGAGATTTCTCATTCGATCCACTTGTTCGCAAGGTGTGCGATCATTTTGGGCGCTTGGTTTTCGGCTGTCGCGGTCGGTGAATTTGGCATTGGTTCGACCGTCGGCGCTGACCTGGGGACAGCTGGGGGCTCGGCACCTGTGCCAAACATGTGCCTCCCACCTCGCCGCAAGACCGTTTGCGCCCCGGACCCCGCAAACCCCGCGGATACTTGCACAGTCGCTCGCGCGCCCCGAGAGACAGCCCCGTGACGGTGGAGCGCCTGCGTCGGTGAGACATCTTAGGTTGGCTGAATGAACATCAATGGGCACAACTCAAAGCCCTGGAGGTTCTTCCAGTCTTCAAGACCGGATCTCACTCCTTAACCAACACCTTGGAGCAGGCGACGAAGTCGGAAGTGGGAAGTGTGACGGGGAAAAATGTGGGTGGGCCCACCCTTCAGCCAGAGGTGTGACAGTTTCCTGGTGTTGCTGATGTTTGTTATTTTTACTTTTTCCAGGCTAGGCAAATTCCGGAATCCCTGCCCTGATGGACAAGATATGTTATTCTTCTTGCCAGCTTCTTGGACAGCCGGACAGCACATCCAAGGGTTCGAGTGTTCGGGGACTGGCAGATTCGACTTGTGGTGTTTTTTAGGGTACGACTTGTACTCTGGGACCCTTACAGTGATCGTCCCTGAGATCCCAGAAACTCCATTTGGAGGTCTCTGTGAAGGTCCTGGTTGTTGATTGACTATTGCTTTGCCTACGTGTTGCACTATGGTGATGGGTCAAATCCTCTAGACTCTAGTCCGAGTCCGCCATGTATATAGCTTGACCAACATCCTGGTGACATGACCCACCATATATTTGACTGTGTGCAATTTGGGGGAAGAAGTCGGATGAAGTAGGACGATCACCAGTGCCCATCCCAGTTGCCAAAACCACTTGTTGCTGATGAGCATGAACTGATAGAACAAACATCATTATAGCAACAAACACACATCATGCCGAATACTAAGTTTACTCCTCCTCATTCATGTGCACATGGGTGCAACTGGTGGCATGTCTCAGGCATTTCCACCCCAAGAAGGACCATGACTAGCGGGCGTCCATGAGTCGAGTCCGAGAGGTTGCCTTCAATTGACGATCCACATCTTGGTAAAGGAATGGTGGGCCAGGAATCACGTAGTGACCTTCCAAGGGGCCGGGGGGAAATTGTAGGAGCTCTTGGGCCCGGGGCCAGCTGATGTACAGCAATACCAAGGTGAGGATTGGGTTCCCAAGTGCTCAATTTGCGCGGCTGAAATGTCATATTGTGAGCTGAGTGACATGGAAGTAGGCAACTTGGATTGGGAGCGAAGGATCTCCAGGGTGTTTAAACAGCTGCTGTTCTGTTTGCAGTCGCTTCATGTCGGCTGCCACACCTTTAGGTTTTAATAGACTTACTACGACTCACTGTTATTTCCATTATTTTGTCGGGTGCTCCCTGGACAGAGTCAGGCAGTGTCAGGCTCCACCTCGACACATGCCAGGACTCCTTGGGATGGAAACGATGGTTCGCGGAAGAACGGGCAGAGTCCTCGGACCTTCCCCGCGAGTGTCGGGAGTTGTGCCTCGACCGGCAACATGCGGGGTCCTTCGCATGGGGCGGTGTGCGCATGGAGGTGGGCCTGGGAAGGGGACAAGCTTAGCCAAGCTATAGATATTCAATGATCACAGCGTGCTGAAATCTGATCTTCCTCTCAGATGTGTCCCTCAGACATTGGCACCCCCGTTTCTTTGCTCACAGAGGTTGGCACCTGAAATGCAACGGGTTTTCCAACCTTACAGCTCTTACAGGGACCCTGTGAACCGATTTCGTCAAGGACAACTAAAGAATCAGATTCCATTCGAACCATTATATATATATATATAGCATATAAAGCCTTTTTGGCATCATACCTTTATTTGGTGTCACCAATTTCAACACAATAACACCTACAGTACTCCCAGTACTCCCCTCAGACGTCCTCATGGAAGCAGACCGGAGACCCTGCACTTGTAGAGGAACATGGTCTTCCAGCGGCCGAACTGTTCCACTCCGTTTCAGGGAGTCTGACTTCGGGTGCTTTCTATTTCCCCCATGGCCCCATGGCATAAATCCCCTGGACTGGGGACTGGGAATAGGTGTTTGTTCCTCCCAGACTCCGTTCCGACCACCAGCACATCCTGTCGCACAGGTCAGACCTCTCGCTCCGCAGGTCTTCCTTCCATCGACTCTTCTTGCTTCGAGTGCTCCGGCCCGACCGCATCGGGGCGGCCCTCACACAGTTCGTCCAGGAGCGCGTGACCGTGACCGTGCGGGGAAGCGGCCCGCGGAAGAGCGCAGAGCGCAGCGGGAGCGGGTGCGGCAGAGCTGGCGTGGAAGAGGGTGCGGCAGACTGCCAAGGGCAGCCTTAGGACCAGGTGAGTCGAACTTCTGTCCCTGGGCTCCAAGTCCCTTCGTTTCAAAGGTGGGACTGGAGGGTCGAGTCATACCTTCTGAGGAGGTATGACTGGAGCCGTAGGGTGTATGATTTTTCCGTGACTAAGTCCCAGACACTCCATGGGACTGCCGCCTACATGGACCCCCTTTTCAACCACCCCAACTGATCGGATTTCATATGCCAGTATCACCTGTCGTCTTTGGGATAGGGTAGATCACAGCTGCTCGTCATCGATGCGACCAGGAAGACTGGGAGATACTGGGAGCAGGTTTGGGCTTTCCAGCCCATCACCTGCTATAAATGCCGATCGTGTTTTGAGCCTTTTTCTATCAAATGGCAGGTGGATGCAGGTGGATTCTAGGTACACCGCACGACCGGTCCGGCTCAAATCCAGGTCGATCCGGTCCGGCTCGGGCTCGGCGTTACGGATTCCACATCGGTTGCTTCAATCGTGACCTTCACTCCGCTTCACTATCATGGACATAGGCTACGTTACATAGGAAACCACCTGTTTTAGAATCATGCTCTTCGCAGGTTCCATAGTTAGTGAGTCAGAGTGTAGAGTTTGAAGCTTCAAAAAAGAGCTCCCCAAAGCTCCCTGAAAGCGACGGTCCTGAGGCCATAGGTTCTATCCCAGTGCGAGTGGCAGTTCCGTTCTTAAGGGACTTGGACTGCTTGCACCCAATCGAACGGTGGTGAACACATCATAGATCACAAATAGATATATTACCCTACGCACCCAAACCATAAATTTGTAGGGTCGATGAAAAACCCTAGGGTTTCTGAAGGAAACAGGTTTTCCAAACCAGTACCAAAATACGGGTTTAGTACGGGTATGTACGGGTTAAATATGGGTTTAGTACGGGTTAAAAATGGGTTTAGCACGGTTTAGAAAAACAAGACCCGAGGTTTTAAGAGCAAACCTGAGGTATTTTTGATTTCACAAGAATACCCGAGGTTTCGATTGAGACCCTACAAATTTATAGGGTTTGGTTGCGTTTGTAGAATATATATATATACTGTATATTACTGTATATATATATAACTATAACGCATATAGTACTCGACCATTTCTTGTAGAGGTCGAGTTTGGCTGGAAGGACCCGTTTGTCTTTCCAGGACCATTTGGGACACGAGTTCATTGAGCAATTGCCCTTCGACATGATGCAGACGTATGAAGAGTCGACCTGCCTCACTCCGATCTTCTTCGTGCTGTTCCCAGGCGCGAAGCATGACCAAGCTGCGCAGATGCTGTGTCCAGCGGCTAGGCCCCCCCAAAACATGCTATAGCCGCTAGCCTATGTGCACGCTTACGTGCCGATTGAAATTTATAGCGCTGCTTGCGAGAGGATATGGCAGTGGAAAGGTCGATACACATCCCTGTACCCACAGATGTGGCAGTAATTATCATAGAGAGGGAAACTGGTTGGCATGTGCGAAGCGAAAGTTAGATGCTGAAGTGTTCAAAGAGAGCTTTTTGGGGGGGGAGTACCGTTGCCAAACGCCACCTTTGTTATTTGTTTGGATGCCAAAAGTTGGTGCTAAGGAGTTTATACAAAATGGCAACACTACATTTGTGATGGTAGATTTTAAAAGGCAATTATGAAGCGGCACGCAAGAGAATACTCTAAAACACAAGCTAGGCGCTAACGTGGCGCTTGTGGGGCGCTAGCTTTTTTTTTGAATCTGCTTTGATTGCTAGAAGCCATTTGCTTGGACCACATGTTTAATCTGTGATGTGCAGTTTCATAGGGCTAGCAGGAGCAAGGACACAACTTCAAATGGTTGGCATGTTGCACTATTCCTAGTGAGCTTGCTTTGCCCATTTTCACACCTTGTCTTTGCCAGGGCTAAACCAGGTAAATGTTCGAGACTTTTCGCGCTAGGCTCGCGCTAGCTCCGCGCTAGCTCCGCGCTAGCAGAAATTGCTGAAATGTGTGCATAGTGCACGGCACAAATGACAGACCCAATACTGTGAGAACAAAATGCGCGCAGCGCTCCTAGGCAAAGTATGAGCTGCACTTGACAAACGACAAAGCCCACACAAGTCGGCAGAGCAAACAGCTCAAGCAAATGCAGCAAACCAGCAGTACAGAGAGTAGCTCCTCTAGCACTGCCGACGGCAGCTCTAGTCAGCTTAGGTACAAAAGTATGCGCTAGTGTATTTTGCTGTGAAAAGAACAAAACATACCATAAAACAAGGTTTTACCATTAGTGTTAGTTATATGGTAAACATGAAGCGGCACGCAAGGAATTCTGCATTCGCGCCGTTTTCGGGAATAAGACTTTAGTCAACCGAAAATTTGGCTCATGCGTGCCAAATCCGAAATCCATGCCAATTCCTCCACCAATCACCACAGGGCATGCAAAAACCAGGTACGCGATCAGCAATCATCCGCCGAGATGCTTGCATTCTCTGGCATTCTTTGCGGACGTTGAGTAAGAGAGACCCCAAGGCCCCCCCCCCTCGGGCCGATCTCCAAACCGTCCCGGCCGAACGGACCACCGGCCTCCGCTCTGCCTCTCATCCGCAGGCACCGATCCGACCAGCACCATTGAGGCGACGGCGCATTCGTTGGGCTTAAGCTTTGGCAACGGCATGCTGCACAACATCTCGACGCTCGGAGCGGCGGATAGGTCCGGTCCGGAAGCGGTGAGGGCGGGGTATAGGAAGCGGTGAGGGTGGGCGAGAGAGGGAGGGAAAACGAGGGAAAACGAGGTGAAAGTGGGAGGTATCATCGGGAGATGGGGTGGAAGTTGGATGGGGTGGTGGAAATGAGAAATGTTGGTGAGATTGGTAGCTGGCCATTTGGAGTGCAGGCTGCCTGCAAAGCAGTGTTCGACAACATTTGAGGATGAATTCGGCCCCGGTAGGAAGCTGATCTCTTTCCTTGCCCCGCCAAGTGACGACCATTTCCACCATTTCCCCCTATTGATATCCTAGTAGTGTGAAGAGTACGTGATCCCTGGTGACCGTTGTGTTTGTCCTTCCGGTTTGGGGCCCTACACCTCTTCCGAAGCTGATTGATTTGTTCAGCCCAGCTCTCACCAAAGCTCGACCTGCACCGCTTTGGTTGGGGTGGCCCCAAACAGTCAAAAAGGAACAACTCAAACAAAAAAACAACGATGATCTCTATTGCCTCCTGATGAATTGTCCCCAGTTCAATCTTTGTACCCTCCAGAATTATCAGAATTCTCCAGCGACGTCAATGATTTTACCAAATTACATATAATTACAGTAACCCTCTTGGTCTTTCAAGGAAATGCATTGAATTCCAATTGGAACAGACAGAAGAATCACATCCTCCAAGTTGCCAAGCCTTAAAGAATCAGCTGGAAAGGGAATCATCGCACCCTCCAGAGTTGCCGCACCCTTTTCCTTCTCGCCTGAGGATGGGACAGGGCCAGGAGAGACGGGCTCTCGGGAGAGTCGGAATTTGGGAGACGTGAATGGCAAAAGGCATGGTGTCATCACCTTTTCTGCACCGCTTGAGGGTTGTGGACCATTTTTGGAGCACTTGGTACTCCGCAAACGGAACGGTGTAAGAATGTGAACAGCCAACTTGCTTAATCTTGCTTCGAAGGTTATGACTGGCCACTTTGTGATTTCCGGTGCCTTTTGGTTTGGGGAGTGGGGAGTGGTGGTGTTATTGGCAACCGACCGGCTATTATTCATTAGTGTGGCAACCCTATGCAACCCTTTGAGCAGCTGTGGCAAGGGATAGCGGAAGAGTGCAGTCGGAGTGGCAGTCCGGACCGGACTAAACTGAAACATGACAAAACCACTTAAGACACAAAACCACTGGTGGAAGTCCAATCTGCTGGGACTCATTGTTTGACCTTCACAATTTTCAATTTTGACCCAATGACTCACGAAGTGGTTTAGGGGAAGCACCATTGAGCGGAGGCGCGACCCCATTGCCGTGTGATAAGGACTGGCAATGCTTATGACATCTTATGGACATGCTCGCAATATAAACCCAATCAGCCGTGATAAGCGGGATATATGTTGTGGAGTTCGAATGCCCAGATGTTTCCTCTTAGAACGATTTTCAATCTTCCCCATGGCCGAACCGTGAAGACGTGGAGTCACGTTTTTTGCGGCGCGCTGGTGGCGCTGGTGGCGCTCGAGCTCAGCCTCAAGGAGATGGTTGCCATCAATGCTGTGACCAAGGCAGCAAGAGATGGCCATTGGGTGGTCCTTCAGAACATCCACTTGATGCAGGAGAAAACGAGCAAGCAGAGATGTCTCGACGGAAGACATCAACGGAACAAACACATTGAAGCATAGATGATGTTAATTTTTTCATGGGGGAAGGTCATACGGTATGCTTCCAAAAGGACGTGAGCATGTTGTGAATGTTCAGGATCGTGACGGATCGGATTTCAGGCTGGGACTTCAGCTATTTCAGCACCGTGAGGAGTGGCTGAAGTCCTTGGAACGGGTGCTGGAGACCATCGAAGAGTATGCCCATCCAGATTTCAGGCCTCGAACGTGAATGGACGGATCACGACGAAAACCGCCGTTCGTTCCGAAAAGCGCGCGCGTGAGTGAGTGGCCACTGGCTTTTCGGAGTGAGTGAGTGGATCCCAAAGGCCTCCGATCACGGCGCCAGCCACCTGGTTTGCCGCGACACCTCAGACATCTTGGGCTCGATCTTGCAAGTAAAGAAGCAACTTTTTAGGGCTCGGAATGAAGATTCCAACGTTCGGTGACCGTTGTGGGGCTCGGAAGTCTCACGAAGTTCGTGCAAATTGCCTCATGCATGCTACAATCGTTAAATTCTTACTGTAAAGCATTTAAATAGTGAACATTCTTGTGTACAGGATGTCAACCCAATGTCGTTTTGGTGGGCAGTCGGTGGTGTTTTGCAGTTCCATGAGCGGTGAAAATTGGACGAGAAATGTGGGTTTCACAGGACCCTGCAAATGTGGCATTGATGCTGCTGATAGACATTGATAGACATAGCACCCAATACGACCACCCCCCCATCCGCTGGAATCCACCATGAGATGCTGCATCAGACCGTCAAAGCACCGGAGCTGTCAGGTGCATTTTGACCTCCGAGCCGCCGAGCGTCTTACAAGGACCACTGTGGCCGATGGTGCCGGAAGCCATCTTGCAGAAGCTGCTCAGATTTGCTCAGCATGGACATGGGTATTTTGGATGGGTGAAAACCTCCCAAACCACCTCCAAAGCTGAGCAAAGGCCGAACAGAACCCTGCTACCATTTTGCTGCAATACGGTACCTGGTGCCATACCTGAGTCATACCTACCATCCTCGCCCGCGTGGCGGGCCAGAGCTGCGCAGCAGGTGAAGCATGGTACATATTCCTGAGTCTCCAAAAATACAAGGGTTTCGTCCAATTCTGTTCACTTGGATAGGTCAACCATATCACATCCCATCATATCCCATCGCGCCGGTGCCCCGAGGTAAAACTAGCCAGGAAAATCAGGTCAATCATTAAGGTCATTTATATTCATTTATTATGGTCGGTTCATCGCAAATTCACAGGTGACCAACTGAGCCTTGTTGCGACTGCTGGTTTCCCTGCCGCTTCTTCGCTCAGTTCACTGCCTGGTCCGAGCTTGTCCGCAGCGCATCCCAGGTGCATCAAGATCGCGGACGAGGCGCCAACGGATCTGAAGTCGAACCTGCGACGGGCCTACGCCAAGTTCTCCCAGGACGGTTCCGTGATTTTCATCACGTGGGTGACGGTTCGACCGGCTCGGCGCTGGACGGAATGGGCTATGACTGGTTGTGGTCTTAGATGGGTCAACACCTGGAGCCTAACTGGTCGGTAGGTCTACCGGTCGGTCTCGTGGTGCTCCCCACAGCCATGGGCCATGGCTCGCAGGAACACATCGAGGCCTGTCAGAAGCCTAAGGAGTTCAAGGCGGGGTGAAAAGTGGCAGAACCATCGAGGAACTCAGACGAGGGGTGTGGGCTTTTGGTGTGGATGTTGGGCCTGACCCAGAGGTGTCGCGTAGTGTGGGCCTTACCGCACCTTACTACCAATCGCCCTTGTACCCATTGTGGCCCTTTGTAACCATTCAGGGCTTGAAGATGACTTTCTTTGTTCCTGATCAATGGGTTCATTGAGCTGCTGTGGGATGGCAGGAGACCTTGGAAACACCTGCAGGTTCAGAAACATGTCGTGGTAGAGTTTGTTTCGACATGTTTCGATGCCGCATGATGCCGTATGCTCAGCATGTAGATTCTTGGACACGCTGAGCATAGGAAGTTGGCCCACCACTGGAGTCGTTTTCATGGGCCATGGACTCCATGGACCAAAACCGTGCGTGTGGGCTGACTGTCACGTGCTCATAGGCCCAAGAAAGAACACAGAGCAAGTAGGATGATGTAGGATGTGTATTTTGGTTGCTCTTTGCCGGGCGGGAAGACATGGTGACACAGTGACACATGTATAAATATATAGACACATGGTTGCGATGGTTTCATATGCTGAATGACGTTGTCAAGACCCTGTTTGTTCAAGTAAGTCACAGCTCAGAAGACGTCGCTTGTAAGAAACATTAAGAAACTCGATTTCTGATGCATCTGCAGCGGGATGCAGCGGGCCAAATACCCAAAGACACACCAGTCACCAGCAAAGCACAGATCGATGGAAATCCAGGCCACCCTCTTCGCGCTTTGCTTCTTCCATTCCTTGGTCTTGGGCCGTGTGAAGTTTGGGCCACAAGGATGCCTGGCACTGGGACTTCGGTGGAGCAAGGACGCTAGGTAACGGGGCTCCTGGCCTTAGTTAGATACTAGGAACAAGGACACTACTAGTAATTAGCTCTTGATAAAACACATCCTACTTTACTAAACAAGTCAGGTTCTTGAACGCATCCTACCAGATTACCAACAGCTCGGGTAGTCGAAGGTAATTCGCGCAGACTTGTTTCGGGGGGGCCTTGATTCTTGATGTTCACCAGTGATTCGCATCCGCCACCCCACAGGGGCCACCCCGGCTTATGTGGGCCGGGGCAGCCTGAAATGTTGTGATCTTGCTTGAAAAGTATGAAAAACCAAACTCGTCGAAATCGGGGAGCACCTGTAGTCTGCATCCTGAGATTTGGTAGTGGCCGTGCAAACCACCTCATGAATCCGCATGAGGGCCCCATGAATCCCCACATGTTTTTTAAACATAAGATTGAGAATTGATAATGATTGAGATATTTGTTGGCAATCTCTCAGTGAGTGATGTTGGATCACCTCAACATTAAACTTGGGTCTAGGTAGCCCATGTATGTTTACCTTTTATTACGCAATTACACACACGAGCACATGAAGCACATGCTTGTGTGGCGTCCGTGCTTGTGTTGTGTTCAGTACTTGTCTTGAAGGTCTGTCTACTGAGTTTACTGCTTGGGGGGGGATTGTTATTGGGAATCCAGCACAGCATGACAGCAAAGAAGTAATCGACAGATATTGACAGAATATCCAGCATCCATGAACATATCAATTTAGAACTAATCAACTCCAATGCATTGTACCCAGGGCAAGCATTCTATTAAACTTTCATCACACACTGTGATGCTCAGGAGGCAGGAAGGTATGCACAGCTTTTTGCCTGTTGATCAGGATGGTCCAAGAAGTACCCTTTCAACGACGGCGACCTGACGATTTGTGCGCAGGTGCTGTGCAACTACCTCAACAACGTGGCATGCACTTGATTCAGAAAGAAGGCAGCAGAGGCAGTCAGGACAAGCACAAGAGCAAACCGGACCATGCCTTACTCTATTTTTGGTGGGAAGGCCAAGGCACGAGCATGTCTCAGCAGCGGACGAATTCCTTTTTCTGGGGAAGGCCAAGGAACAAAAACTAGCGACCTTCGATATACAACTGAAACTCAAAGCATCGATGAGTTTCAGATCACATATTTCTCCAAATCGGTTCCTGCCACAATCGAAGATTTGCCCCAGTCGCACCACTTCAGTTGAATGATGGCAATTGTTCATTAGGGTGGAGAAGATTTGGGGAAATCATGACCAGGTGACCCTGGAGAATTTCAGGCTAAGAAGACTTTGGACAACCGTCGCCATGCATAATCCAGCAGACCATGAAAAGACGGAGCTGGAGCTCATATATAAAGACGGAGCTGGAGATCATATATATATATATATGCATACATATATACTAATATATTATATATTATTAAAGCTCCTTATTCTAATATATTTATGTATAAATTAGTATATTGGAGCTCCTTTTTCATCGGAGCCCTCATCGCACTCAGGCGGAGAGGTTGGAAACGGAAGTTCCCTGGCCCGACCTCCGGTACATCTTCGGCGAGATCATGTATGGGGGCCATATCACGGATCAGTGGGACCGGGTCGTTCGTCGGTGAATGGGTGGTTTCAACGTTCGATTTGCAAACCTTGGCTCATTGCACTGTTCCATGTATAGGGATCAATAGGGTAGAGATCACCCGGGACTCGGATTGGTTTCAGAAGGTGACTCTCACCAGCACAGCGTAATTTTTTCTGCTGAAAGCCGCGAAAGACGCGTCTCGCAGCAGGACAGGCGAGTGTGCAACACGTATTTGCTGACCCTGGTGTTGCCCGAGCTGCCACTTGGACACCTGGGAGAGATTTCTTTGATGCGAGAACACAACATTCACCCCCCCTGGTGGGAGAGATAAATAAAAGCTGGGCTGGTGAAGATGCCAAACATATCACACAACGAGTTGAAAGATCATTCATATTCATGCATCATGAGAGTGAGAAAACGATTCATTTTTTGTTGTAAAGCTGGCTGATGAAAGATCCGCCAGGAATTTCGGAGTTGCAGAGTCCGGTGTTTCTCGGTTTGGTTGGGTCCCAAACTTCAGTTTCCGATCGGGCAACGGGCCGTGTTTCCAGGCTGACCAACATGTCCTTGGCCCCGGGCTTCAAATCGCCTGATGCTTCCAAGCTGGAGTACAGCTCCTACCAAAAGCATCCCGGCTGACCCTGGGAGAGGCAGCCTGCCGGCCAAGCCGCATGTGAGTGAAGGTCTTCACTAGCAAGGTCAGGTGGTTTATGGAAGACCCCTTCAAGACTCTTTACCGTCCAAAAGCCCAAGTGAGGTGCTGAAAGGTGCTTGGTGCTGTGTTTTTGTTAATATGTGTGTTTTTCCGTTGCTGTTTTGGCAGCTGCTTTGAATTGGGTTTGTTGGTTCAAGCTGCTCGCCTCCAACCTTTGCTTCCAGAAAGGGTGGGTCGTCCAGCAAGGTGGCGTTGGAGTTGCATGAATTCAGCTTGATCACTTGGCCCTTGTAATGCAACATGGCAATCTTCTTGGAAACAAGTACTGACTCAGATGAACTAGTTAGAGGATATCTTGACAGTGCTAGCATTTGACTCGTCCGCGATGTTCCGTTTTGCTCACCCGACCGAGCTCAGAACGCTCCGACTCCGACCTCCGTTTTTCCGACCTCAGACGTGTCGAGTCAGGTTTATCGAAGAGCGCTTTCCTCCGGAGATGCCGCAACTCTTTGGCTTGCATCCCAACGCCGAGATCGGGTTTCTGGAGACAGAGGTTGATGAGAAGTGGTGGGAGAACTTGGGGTCGGGAAGAAAGTTGTCTCGGTGAAAGTTGAGAAGCTGTATCACTGGGTCACAACCCATCTAAAGGAAAACTCACCACGTTACTGCAAGAGGGTCATCTTCGAGAACATTTGGCCCCCTATAGAGCGAATGATACAGCTCTGACAGAAACCGTATTAGGAAGTAACCAGGTAGTGCAGGTGTCCGGTGGACAAGGTCGCTGACCCATCGATGGTTTTCTTTCGTAAGTGCAAGACAAGGGGAGCAGACCACAGATTTGGGCCACTGAAAGCACCGACACCAGTTCCTTGCGGCTGCCCGGCCGTTGAGCAGGAGCCGGAAAGACAAGCTCAGACAGACCAAGAAATATGAAGGGTTTTGGCCGAGCTTTGAGATGCTTTGAGGGATTTTGAGGTAAGACATGTACTCCGACGCCACCTCAGATGTGTACGCGCGGATACGCCCTCAGCCCAAGATCATCATTTGCACAAGCATATAGGAACGGAGCTCATAGAGTTCAAGAACATGATTCAAAGAGAACCTGCAGTCTAGAGTCGTAGAGGACTTGTCTTCTCTTACCTTGGTTCCAAGGCCACGAATTCCACAGCATCCATATGCTTAAGATCCCCAATCCCTGGCAGCGTTCAAAAACGGTCTCCACTTCCGTCCGATGCTAGTGGCCGTCCGAAGAGTTCAGGTTCTTGACCAGCCAGGGGATCAACATCTTCAAGACCGTCCAGAGACTCAGCTGCAGCGAGGCTACGTAGGCCCGAGGCCCGGACCGCGGCCCGGACCGAGGTTCGGGACCGAGGTTCCCTGGGGTCGGCTGAGATGGGAGATCCCGGTTTCTTCATACTTTTGGTGTGTGTGTGTGTGTGTGTCTCCCCCTGCTCATATTCTTGCTTTGTTTCCCCCTGTTCTGTGACTAAGTGCGTGTTTGATAGTATTTGTACATATTGGAAGGACGGTATGTACGCAGGGCAGATGAGGTGAGCAGCCTTTAATCGTGAGATCTTGAAACAACAACAGGGAAGCAACGGGCTCTTAAAAATATAAATAAGCGAGACCCTACCAGAACATGAAGGATGATCATGGATGAACATTGTCCAAGCGTAGTTGTTTGACAATGTTTGACATGTATTGGAAATTCCGCTTCTTGATTTAAAGGGATTTCCACATTTACGCGTGCCATAGACGTTTTTTTTCCTCATAGTAAGCCGTAAGCGGTCCAACGATGGCGATGGAGACATTCAAGGTATACCATCCCAAAAGTCGAGACCTAGATAGACTAACGATGGCCCCACTGGCGGATGTAGGCCTGTTCCCCTCCCGGAGAGTTTGGTGAATTCCTCGCGTCTCAGGATGGTGTCCGGTGCAGACACTGCCGCGGCCGCCATGGATTTGGTTGCTTGTACTCCCCACATCGCCAAGTACAAGGACTGACCGTGAAGCCTTGCAACGTCGGATTGGAGCTGAGATCTTTCATTCAACCTGACCCAGACACTCCATGTATGCCATATATGCCTACATTGGGATGGTTTGGGGGGTCAATGTAGGCATATATTCCATACATGGAGTGTATGGGTGAGGTTGACAAGTTGACATTTCCCCTTATGCCTCGAGACATCTCGAGACATAAGGGGCCGTGGCCTTGCCGCCAACCCGTTGTTTTCAGGTTTCACGGTATGTAAGTTTATTCATATAGATCAACAACATGTGTATACAATAATCAATCAGGGGAGCATCGCAAAGAGACCTTTGTTGCTTGTTTTGTGCATGTATCATGTATTTATGTTATCAACATTCGGCTGCTGGTGTCGAGCAATGCTCAAGGTTCTGCGCCTTAGACCCCTGATGAAGCACTACTAGTAATAAGGGCATCGCTACTAGGAACAAGTGCATCGCTACTAGTATGCCTTTGTTACTAGTTTCTTGCTACTATAGTAGCGATGCACTTGTTCCTCGTCACAAATGATGTGAATGTCAACCCTAATTACACCATAAGAATCCAGGCCCTGAAATGGGAAGGTTTCTGATCCGGGTCCGACCCTACCATGGATGGCCCGGATGGGAATCTGGAAAAAGGACCAGAGTGTGCTGTCTTCTAACTTGCTGGCCCTCAAGTACTTGCGCTTATATGTCCACTGTCAGGTGCGTGAAATGTCATCATTTGACTCAGGCCTAAGGGGATCACATGTAAGAAGCGGGTATTTGGACAAACTGTAGTGATGACCTGGGCAGAACTCACCCATGGTTTTCGCAAATTCCCCATGCAGGACGATTTGCCCCAAGATCTGGACATGGCAGAGATCCGCGGAAGGCTGCGAGAAGAGGATTACACGCCATATGTGGCTTGAACTGTTTAGTTTCTTTTTGTCTGAGGGCTGCGTTGTTTCGCTTCCTCCTTGAGTCGTTGAAGGAGAGAAAAACGTCGGGTGCAATATGGTGCAATGCTTTTGTTATTTGTTCAGAAAGGAATTCAGGCCACTCAAGCTCGAGGTCCTCTTCAGACCCGGTGCCTTAGCTGGTAGCTTTGTAGATCTGACTGCCAGGTGGTTGTCTACTGTAACCTGCTAACAGTTAGAATATGATTTAAATAGTTTTCAGCATTTAAATGTATCCTCCAAATTCCGGCCAAAATGGAACCAGGTATGACCACCATGCTGTTAGAATATACATATTCTATCTGCAGTTGTTGAACTGCTCCTGCCTTGCAGAATGACTAGGTGTGAATGCTTCAGATGGTTGGAGGCCATCGCTAAATCGTGAAGTCAGTCTGATGCACCTGATGGTTGCTGGGTTGAAGTGACCATCGCGATATCTTACATAGCATAATTGCATCACTGTCACAACTTTTGCATGGGAAAAACGAGGCAGCTTCAGAGTCCGCTTGTGGTTCTTCTCTCCAGCTTTTGACACTTCATCTATTTTATAAATATATGACACTTGGGATTGTCCATATTCTATCTGCAAGCCAAAACATGTAAAATCAAGGCTGCAAAAAATCTAAGTGCATTTACTGTTATGTTTTTTTATTAAAGCAAGTATTCTAACTTCTGGCAGCTTACTGTATATATGTTTTTCCTCATAAGCTTTTGGTCTTTGGGTCGTTGGGCTGGGCTTGAGTTGATCGACTCCTGCAGCCAAGGTCATTACATCCTTGCAGGACAGGACGAAAGCAGAGAAGGGCAGGTTTGGAGGGCCTTTCTGGTGGGATCGGGTGATGAGTGGGACCTAATGAAACATCAAGGACACCCCAGGACCTTCCGACAGGTGTTTTTGGAGAGCCCGGACCCCTGGACACCTCTAAAGCAACTACTGTCTAGACACCGAAAACAGGAAGGGCCGCATGACGCCAGGAAGTTGGGAGAAGCACTGGCATCGAAACTACTGTCATCCCTCTTTCAAGAGACGATGTTCCTAGCCTTCACCTGCCACGAGTGTTCCAACGTATCACCACTGGTCACCAGCCACGGGGACCGACCGGTTGACCCATAGAAAATGAACAAGAATGGTCAGCCAGGGGGGTTAACAGACCCCTGGTGAACCCGGGCTCCAAGTTTTGACCCATTTCAACCCCCTGTGAATCCAGCTTCTTGTCCAGTTTTTTTTCCCCGACGTCCAGGCTGCGGTTTCGAGCTCGCTCGCACCCACGGTTTCCCAGGAGAGCGATCGGATGAATCTGCTGGTGGGCCACATGCGTTTGCAACTCACAGAGTTGGAGCTGGGCATCAGTGGTGCGTTGAACATCACCGAGGGTATGGAGAAGCGCGGTCCCGATTCAGAGGGCGAGAGGTGAGTTGGGACATGTTGGGAACCTATTGGTGAGGCAGCTACAGGGGTGAGTTGGGCAGGATGAAGCAGTTGGATGCAGTTTGGATGGCGAGGCATACTGTGGTACCCCCCGCAGTAAAATTTGACCAACACCCGTTGGATGAATTCGACCCAAACCCATAGACCTCCCAGTTCGAAAGGCAATGCGTTCAGTGCCCAGCCTACCCATTGTGCCAGGGGGGTGCGGTAGCAATCCGTATACCGACTAAGTCTTGAGGAGTCCAAGCACTCAACACCCCTTTAGACGTGCACTCTTCGATGGGCATTCATACCCAGGAACTCGTCCAGGCTAGAATTCCATCCCGAATCCATTCAGGCAGTATTTCTGCCCGAACATGGTTTTCACGCCCGACCCTGGAATTCTCGCCCGAATGTGTTTTTGCTCATTTTATTTATTCTGCGAGTGATGAATACATGCAATGCAACTTGAGTCTACGAAATCCACCCGATCACACAAATTCTCGCCCGATCACAAAAATTCACGCCCGAATCACGCCGATTCTCGCCCGAATTGAAATGTCGAACATTGCTTCAAAACTGCAATTTGCAACTTTGCAAGTATTTTGCAGCATCTGCCCGAATAAGGATTTCTGCCCGCAGGCTGTTTTTAAGGACAAACCCTGGTTCAGGCAGATTTTCTTGAACAGGCAGAAATTTGAGCCTGAATGAGGGTCCAGGTATAGAGACAGCATCGTCAAGACATCCCCCCCAAAAAAATACTACAATCACTCTTTGGTACACCATATATCACCATATTAAGCTTCACCAGTGGTTGGATTTCGTTCAATTCGAAGTGTTTTTTTGGTTCTGCTCAGGAATTTGTCCAGTTCCTTGCAGCTCAATCGCGTAAACGACTCCTGGAGAGCTTTGGCATATCCATCACTGAAGCCTTTGGGTGCTTGGTTCCAGGCCCCGCCGTTGGCTCCGCGAGTCAGAGACGAGTCGTTGGGCTGCGCCACGCACTGGGTCCACCCTGGAGAGGCACACGTGACACACAAATAAACCCACACATAACCCTTTAGGAGGCCTTTTTGGACCATGGTCAGGTCCGAAAGCAAGCGAAAGAAACGCATCACCGTCAAAGGTCATCAAAGATCTAGGTGCCCACTGGCGCGCCTTCTCGTGATGCTGGTACCCTTCGTCCATGACTCGTTTGACTCGTCTTCTTCAGCATCAGCTTAGTCCAGGCCGAAACGTGATGAGGGGGCTTTCACCGGCTGGTACCTTCCAACAGAGGTTGAAGAACCCTATAGGCTATCCCATAGGTACCCTGGTAGGGTCCTATAAGGTTACTTAACCTCTGTTGGTTACAAGGCGTTTTTGGCCGCAGGACCTCTTGAGTCGCATGCAGCAGTTGGTGGAGTGGACCAACGACCGGCCACGTGGCGAGCGTCGAGCTCGGTCCGTGGGGAAGTTCGGGGTTGGTGCGAGTTCGCTGGAAGTTCGGCTGAGACATCTGTGAAGTTCGTCGTGCAGATGAGTAAGCATTGCGGAAGTGAGGTCCAGACACTCCATGGCACTGCCAATGTATGCCATATATGCCTACATTGCGGGGGGTTTGGTGGGGTCAATGGGGCGGCAGTCCTATGGCAGTCCCATGGATCGTCGTGTCTGGGAGGATCGAGTTCCGCGCATTCCGGAGTCCAAATCCCCGCGGGAAGAGGCGAAGGGAGCCTGGTTCGGCGAGGCATGGCGAGGCTTACAAAGCACTGGTATTCAGCTTCCATGTGAACCTTCCATGCCGTAAGAGAGATGACAACGCTCCAGTTTTCTGAGGTTGGCCACATCGGCGACAGACGCAGGTATAGATGACTCCCCACATGTTTCTCTTGCGAAGCTGGGGTATTGGGTGACTATTTCTCTCATGTCGTTGCGTGCTGAATCGCTCTGATGGAAAGACACCCCACTTCAACAACCGGTGTGAATCTTGGGGGGGGCGGATTGTTGCGAGCAGACAGATGTGACAGGTTCGTGTCGAACTGTCGTTTGTTGGCTGTTCTGTGCCCTTTTTTTATTTTTTTCCTCTAAACACCTTAGATTGACCACCCTGTCAGAATCAAATCTCTGTTCAGCTATGTTCAGCTATACGCGCACTGCACAGCTGAAATGGTTGCTCGTCACTGGTTTGCCCATGATGCGGGCTTCTACGAGTCAATTATGAGAAATAAGTCATTGATACACTCCCTGAAGCAATCATAGAAGTGGACAACCAGCTGTACTAGCATTCGGGCAACAGTGATCCAAGGGCCAGACATGGCCAGACAGTTCACCTTCATGATAAGCACACAACTCAGATCAACTCAGACTGCAGAACGAAGCATTGTCCTTTTCACCCCCGCCTGTTGCTTTTCCTTCGGATGGTTCCGTTAGGAACGGCGTGCTGAAATCGACCTGGATCCCGGGACTCTTCAATCCGATGGCCTTCTTAACGGCGGTGATGCAAGTCACGGCGCGCAACAAGCAGCTTCCACTGGACTACATGACGAATCGAGCCACCTTCCTGAGACTCGGCTCTTTTCAAGACGCTTTTGCCGGACTGACATGGAAGAATAGAGGCCTGCAAGAAGATAGAAAATGGCAGAACCTCCATGAGGATATATGAACATCCTAAGGACTGCATTCTTTCATGCAGGCCTCTAAGAACTCATAGGATGTTAGAGGCCAAACAATCAACAATGCAGTTGAATTTTGACAGAAGCGCCACACAAGTCGAGTCCCGTTCCACAGGTCGAGTCCCTGTTTTGTAGAACCGTGTCGAGAAGAAGAGGCTTAAGTGACTGGCATATCTTGGCCTCACTTTGAGTGTTTTTGTGGTTTCAACACTCTTTTTACAGCTGCTGTAGGAATCTGTAGGGTGTTTTGTGGCATGCAACCGTGCATGTGTTTTTTTTCCGCACTCCAGAGTCAGGGGTTTGTTCAACAAGTCTTTCTGGAAGATGATGTAGATGGTTCAAGAACGACAAAGGCATTATCCAACAGCAAAAACACATAGCTGGCCCCATAGCTTAAGTCATTGACCAATTATTCAATCGGAGCTTTGTACACATCGGGAGCCTCGATTTGGAGCTGCAAATTCCCTGAGGAATTTGATGGACCCCAGCGATGTGGTGAGCTTGCCCACGAATGGCGTACACATTCATGGGCTTTTCCTGGAGGGCGCGAGCTGGGAGGAGGGCAAAGGAGATGACGAAGGCCGGCCTGGCCATGAACCAGCGTAGCGAGCGTCGGAACCACTGGCATGGACTGGCATACATTGGGGTATTTTTGGGTGGTTTCAAGGGCCAAGGTAGGCATATTTATTCCATGCATGCTGCCTGGAGTGTTTGGGGATCTTTTGCGAGACCTGCGGGACATGCGGCTTGACGATGAACCCTTTTCGAACAGGGAACATCCCACTGGGTCGGGGGTCATGGCCGACGGCCTCGTTGGCTTCGGATTACTCAAGTTCTGTGCTGAGCATGGCAAAAACCGTCGAAGCATATCTACCTGGTTCTTCAAAGTGACCGTACTTGATCACCTGGTTGGTTCAGTCACAGAAAAGCCTCCTATACGGGTCACTGGATGGAACCTTCAAAAGGTCACGGACTGAAGAAGCTGGCAGTGTAAAGTATTAATAATGTCAAATGGGCATTCTTGGCGTTGTCCCATTCTGTTCAAGGTTTTTCCTGGGGTCTCCCAATGGAAGCCATTCAACAGGCTACCTGTCGCTTTTTGCTCACCGGAAGGCTACATCTCTGACTCCAAGATGAAGGCTCCGGCTGCGCGAAGCGCGCAGATAGGGCGACCTACCAGCCGTGTCCTGGGTATGTTCCATTCAAGGGCACGACAAGCAAGTAGAACGGTACCGGTCTTTGCAGTTTTCCTGAAACCTTCTTTTGATGTGAAGCGAGGCAAAAACAGTGCAGTCACATGTTTGAAGAGTGTTGTTGTCAAGGTGTGATGCCCCACTTTTGACCTTCAAGTGCACAGCGCAGAGGTGAGCAGATTGATGGACGTTTATCTTCTTCCAGCAAGCAGCAAGTAGTTTGCAGTGCATCCCCATTCTGGAACCAGTCTGGGGGATCCTTACTAGACACGTGACTGGTTGGTGATTTTTTCCTCCACAACACTGTGGCTACCTGACTACCTTCTGGACAAAAACGATGCCAGTTTTTCAGGCTCGCCTTTTTTTCCCCCGGTCCCCATGGTTCTTCAACGGGTTGACCGTGCATGGGCTCGCGATGTCGAGTGACCCGACTAGACGAGGTTGGACCTTTGCAAGATCCATCAAGACAACGTCTGCAAAACGACGGAGCTGTGTCAGGGCTGTAAGAAAGCTGGATGTCCACCTCCAACTGAGCAATTGTGCCAACATCTCACTGCCTGGAATCATAATCGTGGACAACCACCGCCTTGTAGAGGAAAAATTGTCATCCCGAAGTCGCGATACAGTTCACGTAGTTAGACGGCACAGACCCCAAGATCTGAAAAGATAGGGCCGGGGTCCAGGCCTTACTATAAACCACGAAACTTGGGGATTCTGCCATCTACTCTCCATAATTCTCCATCCACTCGTATCATTCCACTGCGTTGTTTTCCCGTATCATTAACCGCTCGTCAGAGAGAGCTGGCAGCGGCATTTCTTCCTCCACCTGGAGGGAGAAATGGAGACGTTTTCGGAGCGCCTTGGACCGAACAGATGGCGAGGAGCTTCATCCTGAGATGCCCGTGGCCAACATTTACTCAGTACACATCGATGAAATGCACCTTGGCGAAGGGGGAGGGAGCACAGGCATCACCAGAAGCAGAGTGGATGAGGCAGGATGGGGCAGGATCCGTCCTTTTGAGTCACAAAGACGGTGGGTCGTGTTTGAGTCTCCTCCACTGGTTTTCAAGGGTTGGTTAAGGCCACTGTTTGCAGTGTTTGTTCGAGTGTGCACCGTTATAAGTATTATATACAACAAGTTCCTCCAAGCTTTGCGTGGTTCCAGCTCATTCTTTCCTGCCTCGGAACGAGGAGCTGGGAGAACATGTACCACTGCCCAGTCTTCATCACCTCAGAACGCGGGCCGACCTTTGTTACGCAGGCGGGCATTGGGCACCCGACCCGATAAAGCCAATACCAGCACCCGACCCCGACAGGTCTCCGAGTTCTGGCGGCGACCTTGTAGACTTAAACGTCGCGACGGTGACCTGTGAAGTCGGGTCCTTCTACATGCATCATGTCATCCAGTGCTTCCTGGTGTAGAGCACCAAGTTTTGCAGACTTGACTTCGCTCCACCAAATTGATCGATGCATGGGGGCATGCATGGCAAATCCTTTGTCACATTCAGTATGCATGCGATGTATGACTGATACGCTACGGCATGTTTTGTATCAAAAAAACGGATTTTAAAAAACAACACGCCCAGAGCTTTGAAGTAAAATTCCAACTTCTGAAGGGGCGACTAGGTACAGGAGGGGAGTCGGTGGCGGAACCGGTCTGTATAGGAACCCGCGGCAAGTCAACAATCAGGAGGAGACTCGTGAAGAAGAACCGAAGAACACCGAAGTCCGACTCACCCAAATTCCCTGCGCTAGTCAAGCCACCTGTCAGTGTTATCAGTGTTTGCAAGAGACAGAGAGAGAACCCCAAATTCCCTGAACGGGCGGATTCCTCCTGTCTCCAAAAGGACTTCCAGAGAGAGAGAGAGAGAGAGAGAGGAACCGCAGTTCCATGCGGTTCCTTTGATTTCATTGGCGGTTCCTTTCGACTCGTCATGACTTCTTTTTGAGGCAGACTGGGAGGGTTGGCCATTTTGGGGGGGTGGCGCCCTTGTGTTGGTGATGCATCAGATGGGAGATGAGGAAAAGACACATTTGATATCATTTAGACTTTTTGGAGGGTGTTGTGATCCCGAGCTTTTTCTGGCCAAGGCAAGTTGCCGGGAAGGAGGATGAAGGAGGCATAGGTCAACATGGCAAGATATTCCATGATCCGAAGACCTTCACAGCTTCACTCCATTCCCCGGACGCCAGTCCCTGTCAGCCTCCACGGTGGATTTGTTTATTCGGGGAACGACCTGCATCCGGAAGGTGAATGTGAGAATGGATCCAGATGATGAAGAGTCTCCCGGGAGCGTGTATTGCTTTTGCATGTTTTTTGTGGTTCTTGCTTGTTTATAAATTGTTGTTTTTCATGTTATATATGTGCTTTTAACGTTGTTTTTCTCACGTGTCCAGTGCCTGCCAAGTCGCCAACATCTTTAAAGCACAAAAGGTTTTCAGCTGAAAAGTGTCCCGTAGAGCCTAGGTCCTTTGACTCTAAAGGATTCCCGTAGGTTTCCCATATTAGTAGAAATAATAAGTTTCTTTAAAAAAACACACATCTAGGAACCAAATACTTTGTGCGAGCGCTTCTTGAAGAAGAGTGAGCTCTCCTGCGTCCTAAGCAGTAGCCATTTAAGCTACTACTAGCTACCTACCTCGCTACTACCTACCTCCTAGCGGCCTGCCCCCCCGCTCCGACGAGCTGACCTCCCATCAGCCAAGGTTGAGGTGGATTCTAGCGGGAGCTGCTTTAGTGATGACCGACGACTGAGGGAGGGGATGCTTCGCTGGTACCTGTGGAGAACAACGGAGCTAGCTGCAGCTGTCACGCAGACAGTTTTGTTTTTCTATTCTTTGGGAGTCGGGCAGACCTGCCCATACACGAAAGCTACACTTAGCTACATCAAACAGATGCTTTCTTTGGTACCTGAGAATCCCTTCTTCTTGAGACTTGCCGTTCAAGCAGGGTGGTGTACATTTGGATGACTCCAGGGCTTTGCGATCGAATTGTACAAATTTTGGCACCGCCGAAGCGTTGAGCGACTAAGACGGTCGCAAGACAGACGCCGGCAGCGCCTGTACGCCGGGAAAGGATGTCACTTCGCTGTTGAGTCCTGTTGATTATCAACTGTAGGCAGAACTTTTGTTCGATTTGCAACATGCCACGGCCACAGTGTGTTCCATGGCATTTTAAGCAGTGACTTCTGGTCCGGAATTGAGATGCAGATTGAATTCAGCCATGAATAGTCCAGCGGCGAGGCTTCAAAGTGACAAGCTCTGTGGTTGAAGTGGTGCGAGAAACAAAACAGGTGCTTGACTTGGGTGGTGGGGGTCTTGTGCGATGGAGTTGAGGCTGGAAACGGAGTTAAACATCCAATTGTTGATCGAGAAACCTGATCACCCCATCGGCATCCGACCGCTGCGAATTGGACCATATAGCCCTAGCCCTGTATAGCCCCATGAAGGAGCTAAGCAGCTAGGTCTTGAATACTCCCCAGGACTCCAACATGCTCCAACTGCCAAGGTGCTTGCACCTTAGGATATGGTTGTTGGCGCCCGCTCTTGGCCTATTGGCCGAAGGGCCAATCAACTCCATGATGAACCGGGACCCATGATGCGTAGCTGCCACGTGAACCAGGGCCCGGACCTTTTGTGTTATTCATATCAGTTGCAGTAAGCCCAGTAAACTTTATGTATCAAGAATGTACTAGCAAGTTAGACTGATTTCGGATTGCTGGGTGGGTGACACAAAAAACCCCTCAATCATTGTTCGATGGAGCCTCCTTTGAGAGGCAGACGATCACTTTAAACCAGTGTTCAAAGGGAAGTGGAGAACGTCTTTGGAGTCTAGAGAAGACTGGCAGCTAGAGCTATATATATATATATATGTTATGACATGATATAATATGAACTGTTTTTTCGTTCAGGTTCTGACTTTTCCTGAAGCCCTAAGCTGGGCCGTTTGGGGTTGTCACTGGTTCCATCCACCCGGAGGCCTTCAACTTTACCATCAAAAGTGCTGAGTGGAGGCCTCAGCAAGGGACCGTTCATCCCCCGAGCCAGCTACCGGGGTGAACGGCGCGAAGGATCGGACGTAGGGCCGTCCTCGGGCGTCCTCGGTGTTTCGATGCTTTTCATGAAGTCGTGGTTTAGATATTTTGATGTTCAACCTTTACTTCAGAATGATTGACTATCATTGACTACTATAATATTGACTTGAGTGAGTTGAAGCACCAACCACAAGTTGATTTCTTTCAACTATATAATACTATTATATATACTGGTGTGCCCCCTGTGGCGCCTTTGTCGCAACGACCGGACATGGTTTGTGTTCCCGACTGGCCTGCTCGCTCGAATTGGGCGGTGCTCCCTCGAATTGGGCGGGTCCTGGATGAGCCTGCGAACCTGGGGTGCTGATTCAAAACAAGCTTCCCTACAAGTCCTGTTTGACCCAGCAAAACCTGGTCTTGAAAACCTATACTGTACTTGAGTCGTGCTTTTGTATGACCAACTCTGGCCAAGTTAAGTTTTTGAGTTTTGGGGGTGTCTAAACGAAGGGCCTAGAACTTTGACTTAGCATCTCGACCCTGTCGCTTTGCAGAACATGTCCACCTCACTGCGCTAAGGACTGGCAACGTTCAAGTCCGTACGGTCCCCTCGTGTGACTCTCGGAATCTCTCAGAGAACAGTGGGTTTTGCGCAAAAAAGACGCGAATAAATTTACCTCGGACATGTGCCTCCTGCAATAAAGATGGACGGAGTAGTCACTATTGGATGGTCCTGGTCCCTGTTTCATGTCGGTCCACGTGGGATGGCGGAAGGCGTTTGAGTCCGGTCACACGCCGCCCACAAATAGCTCACACCGTCCCAAATCTGGTGCCATTGACTCTGACACCATTGGTGTAAGCCCAATATATAGCTCATACATGCTCATACATGCTCATACTCATACAATCACGGAAACGGGGCCATTTACCCGAATGGCAGACAGGTGGTTTTAACTTCCCATGTTAGGGACTCGGAGTGCACCTCTCACTTCTCCTCCAACAATCATGGAAGTGGACTTTTTGGCCCCTGGGAAGACGACGTTCCTTTACAAACCAGTGGGTGTCCAAGTTCATTGTTATTGTTGTTACTATTCCAGGGAGTTGGAGTGTACCACTGGATATAGTTATATCCATTATTATTGTCCATTTCCGTGATTATGTCATGTGTGCTTTTTGGATCGGAGCCTCTGCGTCGCTGCTGTTGTGCGTGTTGTTCAGGCCGAGCGACGCGCTGGGGGTTGGAGCAGGCTTGCCAGAGGAGTTGCCCGTGAGGAAGCACAGAGGAGTTCACAGAAGGCCTTGAGAATCCAGTATTAATTTCACACAATGCATCAACATGCCCTGCTTGGATGAGAATGATCATCTCCAATGTAATGTAATGTATGTGCGTTTTGTGTGAATCATGAAGCAGACAGCTAACAGCTCGCCATGAATGAAATCGGCGAACCTCCTAGGATTTTTTTCAAGAAATTTGAGCCCCCTGGGCCGTAACTGTCCGGGTCACTCCATGGTTGTCGATGATCAGGCCTGTGATAAAAGAACCCTCCCTGGGAATCAGCAGAATGTTCCGGGGATTTGCTCATCTCGGTGGAATCCACTTGTGCAACTGAAACTTGCGGCAAATGGAGTTGATGTTGCAAGAGTTGGAGCCTGATCTCATGTCAAGACTCAGGCCATTTGCCAGGTGTTATGCGCTCTATCAACTATTATACTTTTAGATACCATCAATTTTTGTGATCATGTCCAGAGGGAGTTTGCCAACCTTTGTGCGTTCATTCTTCCGCTGCCAGAATACCAGCTCCTGATTGTGTTGCTCAAACAACGGGCATCTCGCCACACACCTGTCACCTCGCCACACACCTATCCCAGGCCAGGTTTATCCTCTCAATCATTTGCAGCAGTGGGCAAGAGATCACCGTTTTTAGGTCAGGGGCGAAGAAACATCGTTCTCAACCATCAAGCTATTCCCATTCTTGGAAGGCATGAATATGAATCTTCTTTTTTGTGTGTAGGCCAACGGAGGCCAATCGGGACTACTGTGCCCAGACGTAAAGACACTCGAAATGGTAGAGTAAAATCAGCCAAAACACGCCAAAACTTTTTACTTTGCCGGTTGTGAAGCTGAGCTGCCAATATTGAAGTATGTTCAGCAAACATAGGGTTCTATGCTATACCCGGTGACCCTTGCGTGAGTTTTCTATGGGGTATATTAGATTTTTTTTTGCCTCAAGTGTTTGGGAATTGTAGCGCCATGTGTAAGCCAAAAGCACATCATTCACAGAAATAGCTCGACGGACAGACCGACAATCCACGTCAAACAAAAGCATGTCACTTTAAAGGAAAATGTGGTGCACTCCCAACTCCTACGATTTGCACAAAGCACTGGAAGAGCTGCTGCTCGTGCTCCTCGTAGTGCTCAACCGGCCGAATTGTCCTGAAGCCTCAGGTGCTCAACCAGCTGCTGAGCATTGCCTTCGAGAACATGACCTCAACTAGGCGGCCTTTTCCAGTCCGAGAGAGGCCTTCCAAAGAAATCAGAGTCGCAGATATACTTAACCACACATGTGAAAACAGAGGAAGACTGGCCACCGGAGGATGTCATTTCTAGTTCCTGCGTAACAGACTATGGTGGTCCAAAGGTGCCGCCTTTTGTTGTGATCATAGAAGGCCCTAGGACCGACACTGTGTGCTGTGTGACCTGCAAGTGGATGAGCACCGGGGAACCTTGGGCCTACGGCCCTGCAAGCGATCAACCAACAAGCAACTTCGTAGAACCAGATTGATCCCTGTTTCGGAGGCCAGTCACATGTAATTTTTCGTGTCAAAACGGAGTTCACTGGGTTCTAGGTTCATCTCGTTGTGAGACGACCTCATAAGGTGCCTGCGTTCAGCGTTGCTCACAATGCCCTGGAATCCTTGTGGGTGATTGCGTGGTGATTGCTTCTTGAACATCCGACCAAATCTGACCCATTATGTTTTTGTTGCCCATGCAGCAGCTTCCCAGATGCTGTTTAACAGGATCTCCTGTGGGTTTCTATTTTTAGGAGAGGCCAGCACTCGCATATTTTTTGTCAGCACGTAGTGACGTAGTGCTGCCGCAAGATGGGAGGGGTCAAGTGCACTGAAGCACCAGTTCTATACATTCGGCATCATTCGGCTATTGCTCAAAGTGCTCCTCAAACCCACTGATAAATGAGCATTGAGCATGTGCGGGTTCCTGGGTTTTTACTTGTTTTGTTTGTTTCAACTCTTGTGTTTGGAATACCCACAGGTGATCCAAGTCATGACGTTTCCAGAATCCCGTCACGTTTCCCCACGACGAGATCTTTCTACAGCAAACAGCTCGCTCGCTGGCTGGGCCCCAGCCAGCGCCGGCGCTGGGTGTGCCCCACCCATTCTAGATTGTACTCCCCTGCAGATTAACATGGAAACTGTGCTGTTGTTCATCCGCAGGAGTGGCGAGTTGATTCAAGCCAATGGGATTTACACCCGAGGCTGGGTCGGGGGCGAGTGGGCATCTTGAAACAGAAAAGGGGCCTGAGAATCTTGAGAGGGAATTGAAAGGATATTTTTTTTCAGATCCTCCTCATCATGAATCATGAATGGATCTGCCAACTGATGCACCATGTCCTACCTGCCCGTCCAGGTGGTTTTGGGGGTCCAAAGGTAGAAAAGAAATTTGCCAATCGTGGCGTTGGGAATTGGGGGAATCCACCACGAGTTCTCCACTCCGCAAACGTAGCCTGGTCCCATTCCCATCAGATGGCCCTCATTGGTGGAGG